AATAAAAACTCTACGTCTGGCGAACAGTGCTTATAAACAGTCCGTACATCTCCACACCATGAGTTATTAATAAACACACACACACCACCTCCATTTACCTTCCCCGAAGCAGTAGTGCGATCACTTTAATGTGTTTGTTGCTGAATCGCTGAGTCTGGAACTCAGAAGTCAGAAAGCCAAGTCTCAGTGAGAACTAGAGCACAGCATTCTCTGATTTCTTGTTGTGTTGTAATCCTAGATCTTAGCTCATCCAGTTTGTTTTCCAGAGACTGTACATTAGCAAGGAAGAGGCTGGGTAATGGCGGTCGGGTAGCGCGAGCTTGTAGCCTAGCATGGAGTCCTCCTCGTCTGCCCCGTTTGCGTCTCCGTGTCTGGGTTGCTCTCCTGATTTCAGTCTGCTCACGTGTGCCGGGTGCTCCAGAGGCTCCCCATGGGCGATGGTGGCTTTCCTCACCATTGTTATTGTTGTCGCCGGAGCCGGAGCGAACAATGAGTTGTAGCTCTGGTTGTATGAGACCAGTAAATTCCCAGTGGCTTTGTGAGTTGGCGAAATCCAGCAATGCCTGTCTGTTGTATGTTAGCAGTGCATGACATTTGTGCACTGCAGAAAAAGCAAAAAACACACAAAAAAGAAGAAAATGAAGAAAAAAACTGGCATTCAAGAGTGGAATGTGCAAACATGTTCGCCTCGGTGGGTGCCATGTTCGTGTTGTCCTTTGATAGTTGAACAAACTCTCCACTTTTCTAAATGTGATGGGGTAAATTTTAACAACTTCTCAATAAAATGCTACATGGCCTACAGTGTTATGCCTGACAAACTGGACCAAAACTGAGCAAAATTACTTCATTTGCTAATCCAGGAAAATGCACTGGTTTCCACTAATTGGACAACAAAACACTAAAGTTGCTGTCAGTTGGAATGACTCAAAATAACCAGAATAGTTCAGTACAAAGGTATAAAATGCTAACAGTAGCTTGCTAATGATGCTGACATATACACGTAAGCCAGCTACAGTACTTGCGTGTTTACTCTAGCAGGAAGACAGCCACATCTGTGTCAGATTGTAGTCTTTGGATGCTTTTTAATGCTCTGCATCTCCAACATGCCAAACTGATGTTAATCCTGGTTTTGCCTCGCTCTTTGTTATACTCTTTCTGTGCTACAGAACACGGCCTCTTGGGTCTAACAGGTCCACTCCTATCTTGGGTTGTACCTGCACAGGGAGTTTCCATGATCGTCTTTGAAATGAGCCATACTGGTTTGAAAAACACATCCTATAACCTTGGATCAAATTGTCGCACTCACAAATTCATTAGCATTCTCATGTTTATTTCTTTTGTTTGCATTGGAACAACAGAAAAAAGCCAAACCTGATAGATTCCACACCGGACTCCAAAAATGATCTTGACAGAATTATTGACTCCCTCAACTTAATATTTAGTAGCACACCCTTTGGACAAAATAATTGTCCTTCCTATAACCTACACTGAGTTCTTTCCACCTCTCTACTGGAATTTTAGGCCGGTCATCTTTTGCCAACTGCTCCAGGTCTCTCAGATTAGAAGCATTCCTTCTCCCAACTGCTGTTTTGAGGTCTCTCCACAGGTGCTTTGTGGGATTTAGATCTTGACTCATTGCTGGCCACTTCAGAACTCTCCAGTATGTTGTCTGAAACTGTTTCTGGTGCTTTTTGAAGTCTGCTTTGGGTCATTGTCCTGCTGTAAGACCCATGACATTTGACAGAGACCCAGCTTTCTGACACTGGGCCCAACACTGTGCCTCACAATTTGTTGGTACTCTTCAAATTTCATAATGCTCAAAACAACAGTAAATCTCCACCATGTATAACTGTAAGGACCATGTTCTTTTCTATGAAGACCTTATTTCAATTTCTGAAAACGGCAGAATGATGTGCTTGACCAAAAAGCTCTATTTTAGTCTTATCTGTCCACAGGACATTTTCCCAGGAGAATTGTGATTTCCTCAGGTAAGTTTTGGCAAACTCCAATTTGTCAGCAATGGGGTCCCAGTTGATGTCCTACCATAGCATCCCTTGTTATCCAAATGGCGACGGATAGTGCGAACTGACACTGTTGCAATCCTTCATTGCAATCTGTCATTTATTTTTCTCTTTTGTCCACATCCAGAGAGATTAGCTACAGGGCCATGGGCTGTAAATCTTGACAGTGTTGTGCAGTGGACACAGGAACAGCCAGATCTGTGGAGATGGACTTGTAGCCTTGAGACTGTCCATGCTTTTGCACTATTGTTTCTCAAATCCTCAGACAATACTTTGCTCTTCTTTGAGTTGTCAGCTTTTCTCCATTTTAACTGGTTGCAAGTGTGATTTCTATATTGCCAGCACCTGTTGATTGTTACAGGTGAGTTTCATTACAAACTAAAGGAACAGCACATGCTTGAAATACAACTATTTCTGATGATTATGAAAATGTTTCAGTTATTCTGTGGAGTCCATTTTTGGGGTTCTGTGTGGACTGTATCAGGTTTGACTTTTTTTCTTCTGCTTTTTTGTGTTGTTCCAGTGCAAGCATGAGAAATAAACCTGAGAATACAAAAGACTTTGTGATTGCAACAATTTTCTGGGAGAAGTGGTGCGTTATCTGACAGAAATGCAGGGGTCTCAATATTTTTGGACATGACTGTATGAGGTACTGTTTCATTAGTAATTGTATGTTGTGGTATTATGTTTTGCCTTGTGGTTTCTCCAGGTGGGTCCAACCATCCCCAGAACCCTGATCAACAGCCCAACCAGAATGAGGTGATCCAGCAACAGTATGTAACATTCAAACCCCACATGCATGCATACACCAGCCCTGTTCTGAAGAAAGATATCCTGGGAAACTTTGAGCCCAAGGAACCCGAGCCTCCAGGGATCCCCGGTGGTCCTGGAGAGGGTGCTAAGCCCCTTGTCCTGGGTCCGGAATACAAAGACTCAATCCAGGATTCAATCAAAGAGTTTGGCTTCAACATGGTGGCTAGTGATATGATCTCACTGGACAGAACAATCAGTGATATACGCCATGAAGAGTGAGTACTGCTATATGTCTGCTGCCTTTTTTCTAAATGTATTACTTTAACTAAGACCATCCCTAGATTACTATCACACCAGTATGCAGTGTTGTCCTAATATGGCAAGTCTGTATTAATAGACCACTATTCTTGACAGCATTCACTGTGTCTTTTAGGAAAAGTTGAACCCTCAGAGATTATACATGATATAATGCATGCACAGGCGATTTTAACAATTACATAAAATCAAACATAATGTGACGACCGCTAGCTCGGTTGAGAGGAACTGGCCTGACCCTGTCCTATACTGGGACAACTAACTAGCCAGCTATGCGCTAGCACCTATGCTGACAGTGAGGAGAACATCTTCTTTGTCTTTTTTCGGGTTTTATTAAACGGATTAAAGAAAGCAATTGAAAATGCTGCATAACATGGCACCGTGTACTCACAGAAGATGAACAACAAAAAGGCAGCAACAACACAACTCCCTCGGAACTCGACCATGTACCAGGACGCGCCAACAGAATCTAAACAACACGCCCACCTGTCATCCCTCTTATCTCCTCCCGCACCTGTTCCTCCCCCGATCCCACATTGGCCAGAACAGCGCGGCATTTTGCAGAAAACAGTGATAACCAATACATGAACAGCCTTCAATAACATTGTCAAACCCATTCGCACCCAACAGAACACATGAACATCAGGGTCGCCACACCCCAGTTCTTTTACTGGATAGATCTGAGTGTTTTTAGTGCTGGTTTATTTACAATACATATATATTTATAGATATATATATATATAAGGATTACAGAGCACAACCCAGGGCTGCCACCTTCAGACAAGCTGCTGGAGAAGAGAGCAGAGAAAAAGCACCCGGAAACACAGAGACTAATACATTTATCAGTTTTGGGCTAACCCCTTACACAGATGAAGTCTGTCCAGCAGACTCAATCTCTTATATAGAGCTCTACAGGCTTGGAGCAGCTGTGTATTACCTACTCATAACAAAATGAAGATTTCCATGTGTGTGTGTGTGTGTGTGTGTTGTTGTTACGTGGTGTGTAACTAAAATAATCATTCAGACACAAATCTAACACAAGATTAATACAAGAAAACAATTGGTGTCATGGCTTACTGCTAACCTTGAAACAGAGCAGACTAGAGCAGACTTTGAATCTTAATAAACTACATTACTAACACATTAAAGTCTAATAATTATCTGACTGATTTATTAATTTCTAACAAATTCCCCCTTTTGACATGATTTATATCGTGCCAACCTAAATCAAATGTCCCTGTTATCCCCAAATAACAAGGAGGAGAGAGGCCCCCCCTTACCACCCCCTCCAGGGAAAGCCCAGAG